AACGACAGAACCTTTCATGCTGAATACATTTATCATGCTTGTTTTTTAGCTTTGTCTTTGTCGTTTATAGGAATCTATCCTGATATAAACATTTTATATATAATCCAAGTTATGATTCGTTTCACGTTTTTGTTATACAAAAACGAATTTTGCTGTTGAACAGTTTTACTTTATAAATTGACATAATCATTTAAATAATGAACACAATACATCTATTTGTTATTGAACAGAGGTTTAAAATTCCTGAAACATAAATTAGATGGTCTTATTCATCAGAGTTTCAATAGAATTTTATCTCTATTCTTCCGTCTTGTTTATTTCAAATAATAACGATAAGAAACAGGGCTTGATGGAAGAAAATAAAAAAAATACATTGGAACTAGTCTGTGTTAGATCTATATTAAATATTGAACAAAGTCAACATAACTTCTTTGTATTAATTTGTCAAATCCAAATTCTTATTCGTTGCATCGTTACAAATCCCAGTCACATCGATTCGTAAATAAATACTGTGGAGAAGCATCTGATTTGTTTCGTAGTCATTTATTTGTATAAGAGGCACTTAGTTATGGCTTATACAATGCATCTATCAGTTGATCAATATCAACAACCAATACCTAGTCGTCAATATCAGATTCGCGAAAAAATATTTTTTCTTGATAATAATTTCAAAATTAAAGACGAAATGAGTCAAGATGTTTATTTTGTTCGGTCAAAAATAAGTTCATTTCAGTATAAATTCGACCTTGAAGATATGACTGGAAAGTAAGTAAACAAGTTAAAATGAATCCATCGATCCACATCAAAAAGAAATTCTTTATGACGAAATTATCATTTTCTTAGTGCTGATAAATCCATCTTTCGATAACTCTTTGGACACTATAAGGAGAAAAAAGTATATTGGAACTCTATCAGAACAAGATAGAATATTTATCCTAATATGGTAAGACTCATAAAAGTAATTGAACTATTTACAACAGACTTTCTAAGAAACAAAAGATTTAAGTTTTGTCTTTTATCCTTTTTTTTTTCTAGTGGAATAATTACGATTCAACAAGATTTTTCTCATCTTCATCCAACATACAATATCTCATCGGCTCGCCAGGATGATTACGATCGACAATTAGGAGTTGTCAAACAGAAATTTGAACTTTTTCATAAAAAATTTAGCATTGATTCTATTTACGGTCAATATAGTTTAGAAAGTCTTGATCTTTCTGCTCATTCATTTTCATTAACAAAAAATGAACGAACAGTAGCAACTGTCAATAAAAAATATTTTTCGACATCGAACACATATGGTGTTGAAATTGCTGGTGATGAAGATCAAGCATTTATTTTGGCAATAGTTATTGTTCTCGATTAAGTTTTATATGATCACAAAAATCGTGGCAGTCGCGGCTTCCCATTGACGAGCTTAAATCGAAATTCAAAGAAAACTGGTACATTCAATTTCAATGATTTAAGAAAATGAAATTGATTTAAAATTCTCGGGTTTTTAAATCTGTGGACATGTATTCGTATGAATTCTAAGAAAATTAATATATTTAGTTTTTTTAAAACTAACTACAATGTGCAGAGTTCGCTAATTATAGATTTTCAACATTTTTCTCCTCTAACTGAGATTTCTAGAGGCTTCTAAATAAACAATGATATGATTAATCACTCGAATGAATTCTGACTTTGATTGAAATTCTTCTTAGCTATATTCAAGCCCGTAATCCGTGCTCGAGCTTTATAATTATTAGTGTATTCACCGCGTCTAAAACGAGTAGATGACGATGAAAAAATTGTCAACTATGTGTTAGCTTAAGGCTTCCCCTTCCTCCCACTCAAAAATCGATCTCAGCCCAGATACGTTTAAATGGGCTAAAATTTGGAGCATATGTTGGGGCTGACGTGGAGAGGTTGTGGTAAAATTTTCATCTAGATACCCTAACGTCTACCAGAGATATGAAAGGGTGTGCGTGGGTCGTGTTCTGAATTCGTCTTATACCCATTCTCCACCCCACCCACTTCACATCCTTCTTTTATTTTAAACAAAAAATGAATTTATAAACATGAAAAATCAACAAAACTATAAAAAATGAAATATTATAAGAATAAGAGACAATAAAAAGGTACACGATCAGAATAAATATGGATGCAACTGCATAAGACGATTTCTTTACTTGAAATAAATCAAATTACTTTAAAAAGGGAGATACGAGTCAAAGTCAATAATGAAAAAAATATATAGAGGACACTAATGTCGAAAAGTAATTTGCTCTAGAAATAGCTGTACAAACCTCGACGTAGTACATTCAAATAAAAATAAATATTGAAATTGGCTGATAAAAGCTTGCTAGCGCAGCTTCTTTGGAGCTGAAATATGGAACTCACATATATCCTTAAACCTTAATATTCTAATACATCATCGATAAACTGAAAAATTTCTTGTACACTAGTTGTTTTCATTGATAATCAATGACAAGAGCGAGATATTGTTATGTATTTCTACATTTAAAACAGAAAATTTACCAAAGTTTTAAATAGGTAATGTGATTGTATTGAAACCAACTGAACAAACACCACTTAGTGCACTTTACTGTGCTGCTTTTATCAAAGAGGTAAGATATTATCATGTCGATTATACTTTGTTGTTGTCATGATGATCTAGACTGACTTTCCACCAGATGTTGTCAACATCATACCAGGTAAAGTGAATGATATTTGTCATAATAATTTCATAAGAATATTTAGGTGATGGGCCTGAATGTGGTTATGCAATTGCTGTTCACGCACATATTGATAAAGTAGCTTGTGCTGGTTCAGTTGAAGTAAGAACATTCACTAATAAAACTAAAAAAAAATGAATGTGAAATGTTTGATTGAAGGTTGGAAAGAAAATACAAGAAGCAGCAACTAAATCAAACCTTAAATGTATTACATTTGAAATTGATCAGTAACGAATACACGATAATTTTCATCTGAGCTATTCTCTTTTTATATATCGGTGGAAAATCTCCTTTGATCATCTGAGGATGAGTATTCTATAAGACTTTCAAATAATCAAGTTGATTCTAATACTGAACAAGGATCACAAGTAATAACCTCTTTAATCTAAAGAAAAGTTCACTTTACTTGTATATGATAGATAAATGATAGTCAATTTCAATGGATTTTGGATTTTATAGAATCAGATTACAAGTTTGGAGATAAATTAGAATGTGGTGGCGAACGAGTTGATAATAAAGATTATTTTATCAAAGCAACTATTTTTAATGATGTAAAAGATGATATGCAAATTACTCATGAAGAGGTATAACATTTGTTTTTTTGATTAGATTCTATAATAATGTAAAAGTTTAGATATTTGGTTCAGTAATGTCAGTCTTAAAGTATGGTTCATATGAAGAAGTTATCAAACGAGCAAACGACACAACTTTTTGACTTGGTGCTGGAATGATAACTAGAGACAGTAAATTTGAAAGAAATGATTATTGATGATTATTCTAGTTTTTCAGTAAGACGTGGTCTTACGTTGGCTCATCAAATACGACCTGGCTCTATTTGGATAAATACTTATAAGACTATATGTGATCAAGCACTATTTGATGGCTTTAAACAATCAGATCAGGAAAGAGAATTAGGTCGATATGGTCTCGAAGCATACTATCAAGTAAAAATAATTGTTGTTAAACTTGTTTGAGGAAAAACAATACAAATTTTTCATGAAGAACAGCTATTTGGATTTACTTGTTTAACTTTCTAACATTTATGTAGTTTGCTCTCTAAACTCTTCCATGTATTGCGAAAGCCTCACTAATACGTTCAACTAATTTAAATAAAATGTTTAAGTGCAAAGAATAGAATACTACGAGCAATCAGTTGAAACAACTCCTAATTACGGTAATAACTCGTATGAATGATCATAATCTAGTTTCAATTTAAGATACATAATAAATAACATTTAAAATTTTATTGTTTAACAGACTTTAAACAAAATACAATACAAAGAAATAAATTGATTATTGAAGAAGGAAAAGTATGATCGATTCTTTTCTGCTATTGTAAAACATTATTTATTGATTATATATATATAGTGAATCTAAAGAAGTTTTTATATATAATAAATTTTTTGATTGTTCCTGTTCTTTATCATCTAAGTGACACCACTTTTGAACAGTAACAATAATATTCTTATGAAAAATGTTAATTTGTTAACTGAAATCACATAAGTAGATATACGATATTAGCGAAGAGAATGCTTTAGCCTGTTATTTACAACGCTTTCGAAATCCAGCGTACAATTATAAAAATTAGTTCTATTCTCTTGAAATCTTCGCTATTCTAAAAATTCCTTCTTTCCATCGTGGCAGTTTCGTTCTGGAAGTCTTCCTTCATATATTGAGTGCTTCACATTAAACGAACTGATAAGATCTTTAGTAATAGAGTCACATCAAAAGAATATGATTTTGCATATACTAAGAACGATCTGATTTGCACCTGTTAGTAAAATAGTTCTATAGTGAAGTGCAATATCAAATACATATATCATTAAAACGATTGTTCTTCGCTTGTCGCAAAGTCCAATCGATAAGACAAGTTTTAAAAAATACCACATTGACACGAAGACTTGTTACAATACTCGGGTGTGCTACCTTATCAAATTTTTGTTTTCTCTTAACCAAATCGGTTTCATAAGTTGAATCATTCATTAAGATTGAAGACATCATCTGCAACTGAAACAGCAATGAATGTAAGTGGATAAAGGAACGAGCTAATATATGTTCATTCTTTCTTTTCTTCTTATGTGATAAATCAAGGTCAATCATGTAGACAAAAATGAATCCGTTCTCTATCATTAATCCAAGTACAGATGAAGAAATTTGTCAAGTAGAAGAAGGCACAAAAGTATCAATATATATATACACACATGATTATCTTCGTTCTACGTGTAATTTTTATTGTTTCCAATATTGTAGAGTGATCCTGATAAAGCAATTGAAGCTGCTGAAAAAGGTTTCCAATATGATTCACCGTGGCGTAAGTTTGATCCGCTGCACGTGCTCAGTTAATTCGTAAACTTGCTGATACTTTCACGTGTTGTGGATTATTTGGCAGTAAAAACGTTCACTCTGTTTGTTTGCATCCACATCATAAATGAATATTCAGAGATTAGAAACACTGAGCAGTGAAAAACTGCTACAAGAGAGTTATTGCGAGATTCTTGGAGCAGCTGTTTGTCTTGATTGTTGTAAGCCTCTCTGACATTCTCTTTTTTGTTATCGATGATATTCACATGTTACAGATGCTGGATGGGCTGATAAAATCACTGATGAAACACTTCCATCAGAATCAGTTATTTTTATTACCTATATTAGACATGAATCAGTTGGGATCTATGGACAAATAATTTCATGGTCAGTTCAAACATTCAATAAATGAACATTCAAGTTGTACCTTCCTCTTTCAGTGATTATTCAGTACGATATTCTTTCATACATATGCATCATACAAAAGTATTGTTGCCATTATATTTTAGACTGTTATGTTGGCCTTGCAATTTGGATCAGCATTAGTTTATGGTAACTTCATTACTTCTATTAATTTACATTTTCTTATATATTGCAATAACAAATAGGCAATGTAGTTATTCTCAAACCAGCTGAACAAACACCACTTACTGCACTGTTTTGTGCTTCTGTCATCAAGGAAGTATTATTCATCATCTATCAACAATCAAAATTTATTCGAATACTAAATCAATATTCTAGGCTGGTTTTCCATCAGGTATTATTAACAGTGTATTAGGTAATACACATCACCAGAATGAAAACAACTCTTATAACGATATACATATGTAAGTCATGGACCTAAGTGTGGTCATTCATGAAAAGATTAATAAAATAGCTTTTACAGGTTCATTCTAGGCAAGATTAGTGCAGATGAAAAACAGAATACCAAAAGCACATGATATTTTGTTTTAGACTGGGAAAAAAATTCAAGAAACTGCAGGAAAAACTAATCTAAAGCGTGTTTCACTAGAACTTAGGTACTAAAGTCATCTTTCTTACCTGTCTGCTTTGTTGCCTTTTTCATCACATATAAGTAGTAAATCACCATTAATCATTTGTGAAGATACTGATCGTATGTATTAAATAATTCTACTACTTCCACTTTCATTATGCTTCCTAATGACGAAAAAGGTTTATAAACGATCGAACTAATTTGTTTTGCATGTTTTAGTCGATGTTCCTGTTCGAACTGCTCATAGAGCAGTTTTCACTCATACAGATCAAGTATGCTTTGCTGCATTAAGAATATATGTTCATTCCACACTTCACGATGCCTTTGTGTCTAAAAGTGTCGAATTAGCAAAGACGCGTATTGTTGGTGATCCATTTGATCTTACAACTGAACAAGGACCATAGGTATAGGAAAGCATTTCAAGTAAAGTGCCATAATCTAAACTATGGAAAAAACATATTGATTGAGGATTCAGAAAACAATTTGATAAGACGACAGATTAACATTGATTTCTTTTGTGTATTCTGCAAAACAGTCATACTCAATTAGAAACAATTCTTGAATGTATTCGATCGGATAAAAAAGTTGGTGATAAAGGTTATTTTATTCGACCTACTATTTTTACTAATGTAAAAGATGATATGAAAGTAGCTCGTGAAGAAGTTTATCTTTTTTTCTCTTTTCTTCATTTCATTGAAATCGTTTTCTTCTATTTTGAATATCTCTTGGTTTCAACTTATTTTCCCATTAGCCGATCCATCGGATATATTCAGCAACAGCATCGAAATTCTTATTTGCATTGAAATCGGAATCATTGGTTGAATAATACATATAGTTTAGGTTCGATGTAAGAAACTTAGATACAATGCCATACTTCTCTAACTTCTGACGGTGTTTGACTGCAAACGTAGATCTCTCTACTAGGACATTGAACCTCATATGGTATGAAGTGAAACTTAAGACAAAAAAAACAGACCATGCAAATTGTACGTTACAGTCTATCCAAATAATTACCTTGTTATTTCTTTTTCTAATTTACTTTATGAGTACTATCAAAGGGTCTACTAGAATACTAGACAACATGGCTGGAGTAAAATTTTTGATTTTGGATTTAATTATCTTAAAATAAAGGTCGTATATAGATATTACTAAATCCGAAATATTAACTCGATCTGATAATGATTCATTGAATTATAATGTATATCATGGTAACAGGCCTTATAGAGTTATAATGCAAAATGTTAATTTTTATTTTTGGTACTTTTTAATATATTGTAAAACTAAAGCATTATTTCACGAATTAATATAGCATTGATTGTTGTCAAAACGGAGAGTATCTCTTTTTCTGTCGATTTCGCACAAGCATCATTATATAGGAAAAAAAGGGTTAATACGATGATTTTTTAATGAAGAAGTGTATGGTTTTTCCTACCATGTTTTTTCATGTTTTTTTTTGCATTTTTTTAAAAGTATTTTGATCTTTGAATTTAAAAATGGGGTTCCTCAGGAATTTTATGATATCAGAAGATAGCCCGTAAAAAACTCCATCTTCTATGTGAAAATATCTAAGAAAAATCATGACTGGCTCAATTAACTTTTTTCAACAAAGTTCATCACGACGTATTTTTTATGCTGATTATAACGTGTTTTCATTGTTTCTTGATGTTAATCATTTCTCATTCACGATTTAATCTATGAGTTCATTTAACAAGCATAACTACATCGAGTAGAATGCCAGAGCCATATTTCTAATGATACTCCTATATATATAAATGTGGTCGACCAAGTGAGCCTCACAGTGCGTAAATCCTAAATTTCGAGCTCACTTCACGCCAGTCCACTTTTATACTTAACAGCCCATAGTAGGATTCCATCAATTGCAGCCATAGGCTATGAGCGCATTATGTGACTGTAAGTTCGTTAATTAATCAGTACCCAACTAATTAGAACTAATTAGAGAGAGTACTCAATTAATCAGCACTAATTAAGGCGACTAATAGTTAGGATAAGCATAGTTTGCAGTAGACATCTGTAAAGTTTTGAGGACTATTAGGGTCATTGTTGAATGCGTTAGAAAATATTGGGTTCATGAGTAATGTCAGAAATGTGTACTTGAGTTTTGCTTTATCAAGTAAGAATAAGCTTTTTTGTTAGCTGAAGGTAATTGAGTCACGTGATAGAGTGCCTTCGATACACAAGTAGTATATGCGGCGGAGAAAATGTTTGAAAATTTGGGTAAGCCTTGAGCTCTTGTATAGTTAAAGACCGATTGATCATTGGGTGTGCAACAGACCCGGCTCATGTGAACAAAACTGGCTGACTAGTTCTAGCTTAGAGAACTTAGCTGAATCTATGACACACCTACTCACGGTTATCGCTGCAGAATAGGGCTTTAGGATTTATGGATACTCCTATATAATAGTCCTTGAGTACCTGCAGCACAGTCGGAAGTTTTCGCATAAGCAGGCGAACATACAATTTTTTTGCTCAGAAATAAACATATATCATTCAGAGAATCGTCTTTGAGAAAACAGAAAGTTTTTAAGAAAAAAATTTACAAAAAAACTGCCTGGGAAGTAGTACCTCAGCCATAATTTTCTGAAAAAAATTTGTTTTGAAAAATATGTTGAGCTACATACCACTCGAAGTAGTGTAATGCGTTCATTCCGAATATCACCATAGTTTTTCTTCAAAGAGTAATATCAGTGCCAAAAATCGGATTTCCTACTGTAAAATAGCTTAGGAAAGGTTTCATAAGTTTGCGCCACTATCATAAGTAGGTTACATATGTAAGAACGTCTGGTAAAAATGCGCGCTCAATTCGACGTTTTCTCTTTGTAGTGCTTACAATATATGGAACGATATGTTTTCAGATAGGTTTTGGATCTCGAGATCCTTTATCTTCTACTCTATTTTAAATTGGATTTGGATCACTTTTTTTTAAACATAAGGTCTACCTATGAGGAAGCTTTTTGTGATATTGTTTGCTTGTGCAATATTGTTTCATATTGCCTAGCAGCTTGATTTTCTTTATTTATGCTGATTTCTGGGGCGCAAGCCTTAGCAAGCCTTTTTCTTGGGCTTTATAAAACTTTGAGAACCACTATTTTAGGAAATGATGGATCACATATGCATGTATCCACGCAAATTGTTAGATTCTAGAAAAGAATATTTTCGCACATGTCCGCCTGGCTTCCCACTGTAACAGACATCAACGCTTGCTGATTCAGCGTTACTTCACCTGTGTATTGACTTTGTGTTGTTCTACTTGTAAGTTGGATAAAACCCACTGATGATAGCTAACAAAGTACTTCGTTCTTCATTTTCTTATCAAATATCTATTATGCAAGTGAAGACTGCTATTCAAGTATGTTGTATGCAAAGTCATCGACTTTCCGCGAAAGAAGAATAAAATCATGTGCGCCAACCAACTTTTTTCGCTCTTTCTGTGATTAACTTCTGCAACACAAACGACATACTGTATCACTGTTAAAAAACAAAACAGGGGTTCATGGTGTCTTGTCGAGCCTGTCTGAATACATAATATATTCATTGTAGATTTCTTAACTGATTGGTGATCAAACAACATGAAAATAAAACTTTTGAAAAGTTCATTTCTCAAACCGATGCGAATCTTGCGAAGAGCTCGCAATGATACAAGATTTTCAAGGAAAAGTCCCCAACTGATCCATGCCGTTTTTGTTGATATTTTGCCTATATGTATGGTTCGATAAGATTAGAAAAAACTTAAAAGAATAAAAGCCCATAGGCTTTCCTTCTCAAGTTATGATCATTTTACTTGGTTTACCACCTAGCACAAGGGATTCAGCGAAAAATCAAATTGAGAAATTTCGATCTGAAATGTTGTCCACATGCAAGTGTTATGGCCTATATATTTGCCTAAAAGTTCCAGTCAAAGCGAGCGCCTCTTTCTCGAAATATTGCGTTATGAAAAAAACATTAACATGCTATATACATGTCAGGAAAATCGACTTCTGTAGAAAAATCAATATTTCACGACAGAAGCATTTGTTTTGACTGCAACCTTAAGCCTAATATATAGATCATAAGACTTGCATGTGCATGAAAGCTGATTTTTCACTGAATCCCTTGTCATGTGTGGTAAAGCAAATAAAATGATCATCAATCGAGAAGGAAAGCTTATGCGTCGCTGCCTTTTTAGGCTCTTTTCTAGTGTCACCAAACCATACATATGGGCAAAATATCAACGAAAACGGCGTGCATCCGTTGAAGAACTTCTTTTTTCAGTAATTTTGATGTGAACATTGTCGAATGCTAGTCTGTAGTCGACTTACTAATGATCAGAGAGCTAGAATGAAATGAGACGTGCAAGAGTACCCTTCGAAATAAGATAAAAAGTAAAATCAATGGCTGATTAAAAGGGATTGGAAATTTTCAAAATACAAGTTACAAGGAGACGCTATCTATCTTGACATGAGGGCGTGAAGAGGACTGACATCATGCACACCAACTGTAACCATTACTCTACTGTTTCACATGATCGAAAAGGTTTTTAACTTGAAGAAGGATGAAGACATGAGGGTTTGACTGTGGGTGTGGGTATCGGTGGACGTGGGCGTGCGTGCTGAAGAGAAGACTCAACCCACACCTACATCCACACCCATGCCCACCCATACCCGCGCCTACATCGACACCCACAACCACGTTCACGTCACTCGCTTCCGCTCTCACATCCACACCCACACTCCCGCATAGCCATTCACTACTCATAATTACAGCTGTACTAACCCATATCCACGCCCACCTGGAACTGTAGTCACAGCCGCATCCACCAGCACCAATCCACACCATACACCCACGGCCACATCCACCCATACTCACATTCGGAAATCCATCTACCAAGGCACACACATCCCAACATAAGATCGCACTAGCCTACAAATTTATGATGATGATACCTCTACTTATTGTGTTTGTATCGTTCTTCTTGCTATCTCATTCTTCTCATTATATTTACTAATGCTTAATTTCTTCTTATCTTCTATTGTCAATCTCATTTTATGGGGGCAATAAAAGTTAATATAAAAAAAGAGCAAACTAAAGTTGGAAAGAATAACCATAAAAATAAATTATGTTGTTGGATTGTTTGCTTTTGACAAGCATATTTTCAATTGAAAGTAGGTAGGGTTTATCTTTGAGTGTCAACAAAAAAAAAATACGCACCCATATTTGACGTCGTAGAAAAATCTAGACAACAAACGGTCAACATCGAATATATAAATAGAAAACAGTGATCACTGTTCGAAAAGCTATCTATCACTTACCACAATCCATTACTGATTATTATATGTAAATGGGTGGACAAAAATCCAAACAAAGTACAACAGCTTCGTCAGCTACTATGGAACGAAGACGATGGATGGCTGAAAATTATCTGGTCATCTGGGTCGATGGTAATATCGACATGGCAAATGAAGATTGCCAGAATACATTCGCGCAATTGCGCAGTGTTGTTAATGAAGTCAATCCATGCACCACGGCCGACCAATGTATCAAGAAACTCCAGGAAAACAATGAGGAGACATCATTTGTCATCTCCTCAGGTGCATTAGGACAACACCTAGTACCAGAAATTCATGGCACGCCAAAACTGGATGCCATATATATCTTTTGTGGCAACAAGCAACGTCACCAAGAATGGGCTAAAAACTGGCCCAAAATAAAAGGTGTGCATACATCAATCAAGCACATCTGTGAAAAATTGGCACTAGCTGTCAAACAATGCAATCAAGATCAAGTTACAGTCAGTATTATCGGTGTCAACGAAGGAGGTTCTAGCGAAAATCTCAATCAGCTAGAGCCTTCCTTCATGTACACTCAAATATTCAAGGAAATACTCCTTGATATGGAGCATGGTCAAAAAGCCGTTAAAGACTTGGTCACATATTGCCAAGAACAATACCAAGGCAATACCAAAGGACTCGAGTTAATCAATGAATTTCAAAGTACTTATCATCCAACGCTGGCATTATGGTGGTATACACGCCAATGCTTCACGTTCAACATGCTCAATCGGGCCTTACGAACATTGGATGGCGACATTATCATCAGAATGGGATTTTTCTTGTGTGATGTTCATCGACAAATTGAAGATTTACACAGCCAACAGGTCAGTCAGTATCATGGAAAGTCCTTTTTAGTTTATAGGGGTCAAGGATTATCGACAAGCGACTCCGAGAAACTAGCAAAAAACAAAGGTGGTCTCATATCTTTCAACAACTTTTTATCCACCAGTACAAAACGAGATGTTTCCCTCGGTTTCGCCAAAGATGCATTAGGAGCAACCGATATGGTCGGCATCCTCTTTCAAATAACAGTAGATCCTACTGTCTCATCGACTCCTTTTGCCTCCATCCAGGAGGTGAGTTATTACAAGGACGAAGAGGAAATTCTTTTCTCCATGCACACCATTTTCCGAATTGATGAAGTTCGAAAATTGGACAAGAAAAGTCCACTTTATGAAGTGGACCTCAAACTAACGTCAGATGATGACCAACAACTGCGTCAATTAACCGATCGTATACGAGAAGAGGTCGACGGCACTGGATGGTATCGACTGGGTAAATTGCTGCTCAAAATTGGTCAATTTAACAAGGCCGAAGAATTATATACGGCACTACTAGAACAGACATCCAACGACACTGCTACAGCACGTATCTATAATATGCTTGGAGAGGTGAAATACGAACAAGGACAATACAAAGAAGCAGGATCATTCTACAAAACAGCTCTTGAAACGTATCGAAAAACTCTACCGAAAGATGATCCAACGTTGGCTGAAATTTACCAAAATATTGGTGCAGCGCATTACTCCATGGGTAACTATTCGAAAGCACTTGAATATTTCAAGACAGCACTTATGATAAGAGAAAAGGCCCTGTCGTTGAATCATCCCGACTTGGCTAAATCCTATTCCTGGATCGGCTCAGTCTACAACCAAATGGGTGACTACTCGAAAGCACTTGAATTTTACGAAAAATCACATCAAATAAAAGAAAAAGCTCTGCCTCCGAATCATCCCGATTTGGCTAGTTCCTACAACAACATCGGTCAAGTGTATAACAACATGGGTGATTACTCGAAAGCACTTGAATTTTACGAAAAAGATCTCGAAATCACGAAAAAAGCTCTGCCTTCGAATCATCCCGATTTGGCTACTTCCTACGTTTGCATCGGTCTAGTGTATAACAACATGGGTGACTACTCGAAAGCACTTGAATTTTACGAAAAATCACATAAAATCCTCGAAAAAGCTCTGCCTTCGAATCATCCCCATTTGGCTACTTCCTACAACAACGTCGGTCTCGTCTATAACAACATGGGTGACTACTCGAAAGCACTTGAATTTTACGAAAAATCACATCAAATCTACGAAAAAGCTCTGCCTCCGAATCATCCCTTATTGGCTACTTCCTACAACAACATCGGTGGAGTGTATAACGACATAGGTGATTACTCGAAAGCACTTGAATTTTACGAAAAATCACATAAAATTCTCGAAACAGCTCTGCCTTCGAATCATCCCAATTTGGCTTCTTCCTACAACAGCATCGGTGCAGTGTATTACCACATGGGTGACTACTCGAAAGCACTTGAATTTTACGAAAAATCACTTAAAATACGAGAAAAAGCTCTGCCTCCTAATCATCCCGATTTGGCTATCTCCTACAACAACATCGGTGCAGTGTATAACAAAGTGGGTGACTACTCGAAAGCACTTGAATTTTACGAAAAAGCACATAAAATAAAAGAAAAAGCTCTGCCTCCGAATCATCCCGAATTGGCTATTTCATATGGCAACATCGGTCAAGTGTATAACAATATGGGCAATTACTCCAAGGCACTTTCGTTTCTCGAAAAGGCGCTAACTATTCAACAGAAAACACTTCCGCCATCACATCCTCATATTAAAGAAACGATACGTAGAATTAACAATGTTAAAAAGGTGTAAATTATTTTTTTTATGTGCTCAATAAATTTATTCACATTGCTAATCGTTTCGATTTTTCTTGGTTCATTTTGGCTTATCCGCGCGCGCGACAAGGGAGAGACCCCTTGTCAATGCCATAGGTACCACAGGCGGACCACGCCGGACTGGTAGGGCAATGGCCGAAGGTATACCGTATTAACGATAGGGACCAACGACACATAGAGGCCTTCCCTAGCACTACACTGCTTCGCTATGGCAAAGTTTCTCTACCTATTGAATCAGACAACGTAGTTCTCTGACCCACACTAATAACACTCATAACTCAACTCATCTCATCTCAAAAGTACTCATACTCATACTCATAATAACTGATAGTATTTATTTTTTCTCAAAATAACTTATCTCAACTCAACTCAAATGAATATGTAAAAAAAGTTTTTTTCTTACTTCTCAATATTGTATAATATCGAAACTCATCTAAAAAAAAAGAAAAAAAAAAGTGTTATTAAATATATAATGAATTTATTATTTACCTCATATAGAATTTAATAATATAATTATCATTGTAAATAATATAATAATAAATAATAATCCCGGGTATATAAATACATTGTAATGCATTATAATAATACAACTCGAGTGTATATTGTTTCATAATGATGTATACATGTTTTCATATACCCTGAGATTAATTGACCGATGTTCAAAATTTTGATTGATTTTTTATCAATCATTCTACTTCTGTTTTAATTGATTTGATGATTTTTTTTTCTCGTCTGACATACATCTATATCATGTCATCCTCGACGAAAAAAAATTTTCATGTTACATATATATAGAGGGTGTTGTCTTTCTCCTTCACATTACTCGTCTTTAAATAAGAATACAAGACAAGAGAATTTATCAACGCAAGTAACTTAAAAAATAGGTGTGTTTTGTTTTTACAAAATGTGATCTTTATTTTATGAATGTCTGAAATATATACATGTCTAACTTATATAGAATAAGATAGCGTTTGTCTCTCTACTGAACAATATATTTTTTATTGGACGTCTTTATTATCTTCAATATATATGTATTTGAGAAATTTCTGAGAAATTTTTGCGTAAACTTTTTTCACGTATAGTTTTTCTACTTTTCTTTAAAGAAATGTTAGTTGTGCAAAAATTGAAATTTCTACGCATTTAAGATTGATGAATTTCTTTCATTTCAAGTGATTTTCATTAGAATATAGTGCTTCTCAGGATTTATCTAATTTTCGTCCAAAATGTATCAACTTGTACATAACAAACTATGGATGATGTGTATTCACTTATATTGTCATATTCATCGATATAGTAATGAATATATAAACAGCTATGAATTCATCTCAAAATAGTCTCCTGATGATAGAGTATATCATATTTGTACTCTTTAAATTTTTAAGATTTATCGATGAAAACAAAATTCATCATTATAAACATTTTGAACAAACAACTATAATGTAAAAGTAATCTTATTTCTAGATTTTTATACGAAACTGTATATCAGACAAAGTATTAGTACAAAAAAGGGGCATTTTTCGTTTAGATATAATGAATGTTATTGCCTTTATATGTTCCACTTTCTTAATTGAATTATTAAGAGAGCGTCCACGACATCACCACCCAATATGATAGGGGCAAGT